CATTTTTTAATTTCTTTCCACAATGATGGTTTTGGATAGACACACATCCTCATACATCACTATTCTGCAATTAACTTCCACCAGTCTTCTCTCAGCCAAAAACAGTGCAATGATCCATTGATCTAATCTTATAATATAATTGAGATGGGTTGATAATGATAATAATAATAAGCGCAGAACCCAAATGGTTAAGAGTTGAAAGTTGAAATTTAGAACACAGTTAGGTTACATCACGAGAATGGATTTTTCAAAATTCCAACTTGGGGAAAGAGAGAGAGAGGGTTAAGAATTACCCCAAAGAACTCGACTTCTACTGTACTATTTTAGATGTCTTTTTTTGCATTTATATGGGAAATCAAACATATTTTTTAGACCCTTCTAAAAATTCTCAACAATATTTAGTGTTCCATTGTATATAAAGCTGACACAAGGAGAACATGCGCATAAGTTCGCTTTATTCGAACTCTTTGTCTTAATGTTCAATTTTATGTTCCAATTTATATTTATGAACGATTCAGGAAGATCCAGCTTATTTTTTGAATTTAGTAAATCTGAAGAAGAACCCAGAAGGGGTTATGAAAACATTTGTTACTCATCATTTAGTGGTACTATGCACCAGTTAGTGGTTGCTGTAAATCTTAATTATTGTTATCCCAGTGTAGTAAGCAGATATCTAAAAATTTTCTAATTAGTCTTGGAAGAGGAAGGATATAATTCTTGCACTTAGTAAAAATGGGTAAGATAGGCTATAATCTAATAATCTTAATCTTTGCTATCGTTACTTTTTGTCCAAGCAATGCCAGGATCATCTGCTAGTTTGAATATATTTGGTAGCAACAATACCATAAATATGTGTACTGCACACTCCACATACAATTTTGAGTATAACAAATATCTTACTAATTGCAAGAAGAGATCACTGGCTTTGTATCTGCTCACTGGACATGGCACACATCATACGTGAGACTGTAGTGCTGTCGATAGAACACTTTTTCATCAAAAAGTTAAAACAGAAAACTTTTTGATCATCACTTTATAAAGAAAACTATATTTTTTATACATTTAAATACAAAATATATAGTGTAGTTATATAAACACACTGTATGCTTAATAAAAGTACGAGGGCAGGCTGAAAAGTAATGCACACATGCTTGTAGAGCACAAACGAAATGATTTTCAGAAGCGTGCCAGGTGGCATATGGAAGTAACATTCCCCCTCTATGTGCATGCGCAATTTGAGGTTGTTGCATTCATTCAGTATATTTTGAGATGCAGAAATATGGAGACATGTTCTGGTGCTATGTCAACACAAGTTAAACAGCGTGCTGTTATCAAATTTTTAACTGCTGAAAAAATTACATTTAAAGGCTGTTTATGGTGACGATGCTATTCATAGGTCTATTGTAAATTGATGGATAATAAAATTTTGTGGTTGTAAGCCTCGAAAAGCAATAATTGTTGATGAAACACGCAGCGGAAGTCCAATCACTGCCACAGACAATTACTGTTGCACCTTATTGCAATGTTTAATTCTTCTCAGTACATACAGACTCTAAAACACCTCTGATGTTGAGTTTGTCATGTTAGAGGCAGCCTGGCACCAATAATCTTGCAACATGACAACACTCGTCCACACATCTCACGCACAACTGGAGAGGCTCTGCGAAACCTGAAGTTTGAACCGATTCCACACCCTCCTTATTCCCCCAATCTTGCGCCTTGTGATTTTTATTTGTTTCCTCTACTTAAGAGAGACCTCAAGGGTAATCATTACACCTCAGACGATGAGGTAAAGGCAGCTGTCAAGTCCTGGATTCAAGAAAAGTCTGAAGAATTTTTTCAGTGACAGAATGAAAAAACTTGTTACACGTTGGGAGAAACATGTTAGTCATCATTAAGGCTATGTTGAAAAATAAATATACGATTTTGAGGCTTAAGAATTGTACTTTAATGTACTTTTTGCCTGATCTTGCTATTTGTTTTAGTTCGTGTTCTACAAGCATGTGTGCATTACTTTTCAGCCTGCCCTCGTATTTACAGTGTTTGAAAATAATAAATTCAAACCATTTTTTAAAATAGAAAACCGGCAATACTTAACAATAATTTGTATACGTCACAAAGAAACCATAGGAACAAACTACTTACATGAAGTTTAGGATAAAACTAAAAATGCTAACGTTTTCAACTAATAATACAATAAAATTCTGTTAATCTGGCATTGTCAGGACTGATGCAGTGCCAGTTTATCGAATATGCCACCTTATCAGATTAAGGAAATTTTTCAGGTTTTCTTGATCCAGTGGATACAATTTCTGATATCTTTGCATGTAAAACTGTACAAATCTACCTGTACATCTCAGACATTTAGAGCAAGTTGAAATTTTAAGACTGCTGATAAATATACCATCATTTAACTTTTGCAATATAGATGCCTTCCCCTGGCATGAAAGTTGTTCTACAAATAATAAACTTACTATTGTCTCCCCCATCCCTCTCTCTTTCTTATGTCACTTTCCCTCTTCACACATGTACAACAATCCTCCATTGTTTCAACAGCTGTAGGGACATTTAGCCTAATGATGTCCGTTCAATATGGGCAAAAAATGTTAGCTCTATTCCCCTTTTTTCTGCTTGTTATTTGGTTTTGATGACTTTTTTTTTTTTATCAAGTTTACCCAGTTGTGAGTGGTTGTGTGAATTTTTATTTTTTAGTCACAATTTCACCAGCATGCTGGTAAATCCAGGGGTTCTGACCTAATGCGCCACTATCCCCATGATGATCTTGGCATGCCGACTTACCAGATTTGCCAGCATATCAAATGCCAAGTTAATGGAATTTCATTGTAGTTTGATTTTATCATTATTTTAATAGTCTACATGTTATTTTTGTTTTTACTTTCTGTTCATAACGTGACTTATTGAAGTTATAGACAGATGATATCATGTGACCTGTTGCTATAACAATGGCATTAAGTCAGACTTTCAAATTCAAGATTAACATATTAATATCTTTGGCATTATCCTAGACTTCATATAAACAGTTTATTTTCTTTTCCTTGCAATATTTAAAAGTTTAAGCAAGCAATTGAAGAAGTGTATGCAAATCTGAACAGATTTCTTAAATAAGTGATATGAAAATACTTAAATAATTCTTCAAATTCTAACTGGACAAACTTAACAGTAGTAAAATCTTCACCAACCTGAAAAACATTATAAAGGTGATAATTTTGATGATTGCTGCATTAATTTCACAGTTGGTGGAGATTTTACTCATTATGGAAATACTTACCCAAAATGTTAACAATGCTTAAACATAAATAATACACAATTTTGGAATGTGAAATGATATCATATATCAAAAAGATCTATTGTACATATGTAAATTATATAATTACTAAACTATATGGTTTATATTTTCTCAAGGAAGTTAAATATTTACTTGATATATTAGTTATCAAAGTAAATATAATATCAGTAATACCCCAAACTTACGCAATAGGTGGGACCGAGCGGTAACCGCGTAAGTTGGGGTATAATTTCGCATATATATACATACAAATAATTTTTAATTGGGGCCGGAGACTAAAGAAAACAATAATTTAGAAAAAAATGTTTAATAAAATCTTAGATAATACATATGTATAACAAATTAGGCCTATATTATTTTACAATTTTTCACATTTACTTGATTATTAAGCCATAATTTTAACATTGTTTCCATCTTAGCAATAATACTGTGACGTTTACGAATGATGCTTGAATTTAAAGATTGAGCATTTTTCACAGCTTCGAGAATTTTGGTTTGCCTTTTATAATTGTTCTGACCAACAATTCCGGTAGATCAAACTTCTTTGCCAATTCACAAATTTTCATTTTTGTATCGAAGTCTTTAATAATGGGTACGTTCGTAAAGTCAAACGAGTTAAACGCGTTAGTAACAAATCGTTCAAAAAGTCTAACGAAATAGAAATAACGATAACTTCATTCTCGCTTAACTCATTTGACTTTACGAACATACCCAATGTTAACTTTACATTCCAAAGATAAAGTTTTTCTTTTTTTGTTTGATGCAGAAGAATTAGTTCTACTTCGTTTGGATGACACAGTAGAGTCTCTCGAGTCTCCGTAGATATAACAAACACAGAAATAAATAACACAAAATAAATTGTAGCTGTGTGTGGATTCTGCGCGACACATCCGAACATGTAAGCTGAACAATAGTGTGGGGGGAGTGAGGAACGTGTAAGCTGAACAATAGTGTGGGGGGAGTGAGGAACGTGTAAGCTGAACAATAGTGTGGGGGGAGTGAGTAATCAAGGGTTGTGTGGCACTCAAACAAAAGACGAATAAACAAGATTTGAAAATCGCGTAACTCCAGGTTCTCGTAAGTCGGGGTATTACTGTATATATATATATATATATATATATGGTATCCTATAAGTTTGACCCATAGGAGTTATGTTAATCTTTGTTTATTCTTTTGCAGGTAAAGCATAGTGCTGAGAAATGAATTCGTTATTTCGAAAGTGGGAACCTGCAGTCAGCAAGAAGCCAATGAAGAGTCTCCAGGCTGCATCCAGATTTCTGCACATAAACTGGCAGAAAGTCTTAATGCAGCCTGTTAAATTTTTCAATGACTTGCAGGTCTCAATCACTCAAATTCATTCCTCCTTACAGTGCCATGCTTTACCTGTAAAAGACTAAACAAAGATCAATATAACTCCTATGGTTCCATATTTGTGGTGCATTTATATATATAGATTAGCAATTATAATATACAGATAACTTAAGATTCTGTTAAGTAATTCATTAAATAGAGTCAATCTAATAAAATATTAAATGTAATCCATATTTAATTTTATTAGTAAGATTATTAAATATGAACAGACATACAAACGGACGTAATAGATTGATGCAAAACATCGTTTCTTTCATGCTACAAAACTCGAAATCAATAACGAAAACAAACTTATATTCTAAATAATAAATGCAACTCATACCTGTGATGATCGTATGCACTACGAACAATAGTTAGTATATATTATGATAAAAATGTTTAATTTTCAATAATAAAACTAATTTGTTATTATTTTCGCTATCCCACTTCGGCCATATTTGTCAAAGTTATCCAAAGTGCCCTCTATGAATTTAAATATTATAAAGTTAATATGATTAATTTAGAAATTTTTATACGTTAGATATTTATTAACTTGATTATTATTATTTTTTTTAATTAGACTAATTTTACAAATAAATAATTTTCTATTTATATTTACATAATAAATTATCTTATAAAAAAGTTTTTGTATGTTATCCGTCTAGTCCGAAAAGAAAGATGAATTGAGAACTTTCTGCTTTTTATTTTTATTTCTTGGATTATTTTTGCCCTATAGGCATTAACAGGGCTTTTTCTTAGGCCCATTTTGAAATGGGCCTAAGATAAAGCCCTGTTGAGTTCGACCAAGCCAACAATGAAGCGGCGAGCAGACGGCCGGATGGCCGAGCGATCAAAGTGGCAGTCTACCGCTCTGGGGGACCCGAGATCAAATCTGGACTACCTGGGTCGATAAATCCCCAGGAATTTTTCGTGGTTGGTCCGTCCGGATATGTCGGACAACGTCCCTCATCACCCGGCCAACCCATAATGGGCTTGCTAGAAAAAAAGGCTCTCTTAATGCCCACAGAACGAAAAGAGTTAAAATAAAAAAAAAGCGGCACAACCGCCCGCCCCGTCCCTGGTTCCTCGCCACAGTCTGTAGTAAAGATGTATATTTGAAATCGGAGCGCCCGTACATTGGGTCACTTGGTGTACGTGTCCCCCTTTGTCGTCGGATTGCCCTTTTCTTAATCGCAAAGGGAGCTCTAAGGTTTCATTTTCTTTTAAAATTAGTTAATCATTTTTACCATAGAAAACTTTTTTACTGGTGAGAAAACTAAAATAAAAATATTGTTACTAGCTGTTACTCGCGACTTCGTCCGCGGAGGTTTTGCAAGAAAACCCCATTTACATTCAATATTTCAATAACCATAGTAATTGTTAGATCTATATAACATCTACCGCTGAAGAGAATTGCCGAGAATCAAACGAACTACTGTATTTTCAATTTGATCAATTTTCTGGAGCGTTTACAATCGTTCTATAATCGAACCAATATGCAATAACAAATTCGAATTTAAAACGGTTCGAACATTTTTAAAATCGAAATAGATAAAAATATTTATAACAGTGTCTGAAATGTTATCAATTTAATACACCTAAGTACTCAATGAAGACTAAACGTAGTTGAAAACAAAAAATCGCATCTAAAATAGTACAGTAGAAGACGTTCTTCCGGTTAAGCCTTAATGCTCTCCCTCTCCCCCCCACTTGGGAATTTCGAAAAATCCCTTCTTAGTGTGCGTTTTCATGACGAACCCTAACTGTGTACCAAATTTCTGCTCTTTAGGTCCAGCGGTTTGCTTTGGGCGATGATGAATCAGTGAGTCATTCAGTCAGTCAGTCAGTCAGTCAGGACAAGCAATTTTATATATACAGTATAGACAAACCGAAAATCTGTTCTAACGAGTCGTGATTGTTCGGTCGACTACCGGTACCGGTACCACTGTATTTTGATATACGTGGTAGCATCGATGGATTAATTAACTGCGTTAATGGAGGGATGCCTGTATACAGAGGCGAACTCGGGATTAATCTTGGGGAGTTAAACAGATAACAAATTTTTAATGTGAATTCAATAAAATTCACTTTATGTGACTGCTAATTCATAATTAGTATAGAAATAAAAAACACGATACAATATAAATAAAGCCAAGGCCCCTTGGCTCCCCCCTTGGGTGTGCCACTGCCTGTGTATATCTATATAGATATACAGTATATAATGATATACATCGGGCCAATACAGTAGAGGAGAACAAACGAATACAAATTGACCCTAGACCATCACTGACGTGCCATTAATTGATTGCTCCTGGAAGTCGGCTTCTTACAGAAACACAGTTTCCCTATCGTCAAATGTCACGGCACGCCACTGGGCCCTAAGTTATAGACTCGTAACGCCAGACCCTAAGCTTACGCGAAATCAGGGGTCATCGCAAAATCTTACCAGATAAAATCTTGCTAAGACAGAATCCTTCCATCCTATCATCCAGGAGAGTTTAGGCATAGGTTAAGTCATACCTTTGACTTAGAGTATCACGCCGTCTATGACCTCTAGAACCGACACTTCTCTGGAATCTCGCGCGATTTAAAACTTCCATCGCCCGGATTATTCGACAAAATAACGTAATGTACAGATTTGAATCGTAATTAAGGTTATTTTGAATTTTAAAAACAACAAACACGTTATGAATTTCTTGCGATTTTTTGAAATAAACTCACGAGAAATCAAATAAAAGCATTTATTAGACAACCAAAATGTTTACAGACGAAGATTATAATCACATTCACATGAAAACACGATAAAATTAGACTGGATCTAAGTTCTTAAATTCTTAAAGCCAACACAGTCGAGAAAATATCTCCTCGAAGGGTTTTTGAATTGATTGAAATTGCAAATTATTCCAGAAATATTTCTTCCGTCCGTCTTCTCTTTTCTGTATTAACATTTCTTGTATTCCTTAGACATTTAATGGATTTAGATAGTGTTCCAGATTTAAAAAGATTCAATTTTACGTAATTCGGAGCATATTTCCGTCCGCATTTGACACAGATAGAAAGAAAACGTTGATCAGGGATGGACACAATTCGGTAATCAAGTTCGAGAATGGACACAGTTCGGTAGTCAAGTTCGAGAATAGTTACAATTTCTGAGAGTCAAAATGGGTGAAAGGTCAAATTCGGTGAGTGGAATTAAAAAAAGACACAATCTGTCGTTAAATTTCTTCAAAGATCTGTGAAAATAAAATGAAAATTATTAAGATTTTCATCTACAAATTTCAATCATTTAAATCATTTTTAAAATAAGTTTATTTTTTACTAACAAACCGATTAAATAAAATTGCTACTTAAATAAATTTCTTCTACTTGCGTTATTCTCATCTAGCTTACTAGTACTATTGCTACTTAAATAGGTTTCTTCTACTTGCGTTATTCTCATCTAGCTTACTTCTATTAGAAACTATACTATTTGCTTGTGTTTCACGTGTTTATTTAAATTCATTTATGTTGCTTGAAATTATATTTTAACTAGCTATTACCCGCAACTTCGTCCGCGGAGGTTTTGCAAGCAAACCCCATTTACATTCAATATTTCAATAACCATAGTAATTGTTATATAACACCTACCGCTGAAGAGAATTGCCGAGAATCAAACGAACTATCTTCAATTTGATCAATTTTCTGGAACGTTTACAATCGTTCTATAATCGAACCAATATGCAATAACAAATTTGAATTTAAAACGGTTCGAACATTTTTAAAATCGAAATAGATAAAAATATTTATAACAATGTCTGAAATGTTATTAATTTAATAC